AACATCGCTTCACCTGACTGTAAAGAGCTGATAGAAATCGTATTCATTCTGAAAACAGTCCCATAAGATAGCAATTAATATTACATTAACGAATCTTGTTACTTTCTGCTTCTAGTGAGTCCGTACATTCAGCCTCTCGGTGTATTGTAGGAATGAGTGAAAGCAGTATAAGGGTTCTAATCAATTACTGTCTATCAATTAACACGTAAACAACCTGTCTATCAATTAACACGTAAACACATTATTCATAATTGGCTAGTTTAGAAACTAAGAATCTTGGTTTTCAGGATTTGTCAACAAAATATTGATTAAGAGTGTTAGACATAAAAATAATGCTCCACAGATCATGAGATGCATTTAGTTTCAATTAGTCTAAAAACTATTACGAAGGTTGCCTTTTATGTTTCGGGATTTGGCAATCCTGGTTTGGTTATACGTACTCAGAATGTTTTGACATACGAGCGCTGTTTGTGTTGTTTACAGTAACTTGAAAGATTCATCTTGGCCCTAAAACGGAATTAAATCGTGAACATTTTCGTGCGATTATTTTTTACAACTTTCGACGTGGATTAACTCGGAAACAGTGCATGGATGAACTTAATTCAATTTTTGGCGATGAAGCTCCATCAAGGACCAGTGTTTATCGATGGTATGGTGAATTCAATTGTGGTCGTAGTTCATTCCAAGACGAATTTCGCAAAGGTCGTCCAAAATCAGTTGTTGTTCCGAAAACCATTGATGCTGTGCGTAAAATAATATTGCAAGATCGTCATGTGACCTGTCGTGAGATTGAGACAACCTTAGGCATTAGTGGGACCAGCATACATTCAACATTGCATGAACATTTGACTGTCAAAAACATTTGTTCACGTTGGATTCCACACAATTTGTCAATCGCTCAAAAAAGGCTCGTGTCAATTGGTCGAAAAAAATGCCCAAAAATACGATCGCGGTGCTTCGCAACACGTCTATGACATCGTGACAGGTGATGAATCGTGGATTTACGCGTATGAGTCCGAAAGTAAACCAGTCGACTGTATGGGTGTTTCAAGATTAGTAAAATCCAAACAGATGGTCGTCTGTTTTTTCGAAAAAACTGGGCATGTCGCAACCGTACCACTAGAACAACGCAGAACAGTCAATTCTGAGTGGTACACAACGATTTGTTTGCCAGCTGTCTTCCGAGAAATCAGGAAAACCAACCGCCCAAGACAGATCACTCTTCACCACGACAATGCGAGCTCTCACACATCGGCTCAAACAACTGCATTTTTGAGCACCCAAAACATCGATTTGAAGAGTCATCCGGCATATAGTTCTGACTTGGCACTGAATGACTGCTTTTTATTCCCATACGTAAAAAACAAACTGAGAGGTCAACATTTTCGACACCTGAAGAAGCGGTTGCGGCATTCAGAATGCATGTTTTGGAGATACCTCAATCAGAGTGGCAAAAGAGCTTCGGCCATTGGTTCAAACGCATGCAAAAGTGTATAGATCTTCATGGGGAATATTTTGAAAAACAATAAAGTGATTTTCGATGATTAATATTTTTTTGTTCTCTAATCCTGAAATGTATAAGGCAACCTTCGTATCATCAATAATCACATATATTTTCGATTTCATATTTCAGATTATAATTTTAATTTCTATTTCATATATATTGTAAAACAAATAAGCAGTGTCAAAACAGCCCATAGCGCTCCAACTAATTGAAATGGTTGCTTTTATTTCAGCAACCATTACAATTTGACGCCGTACGATCATTTCTCACATCTGAACTTGATTATAAAAAGTGTCGCGACAAGCGACCGGTAAGTTAAGTTGGGGATCGCTTCACTGACTCAACATGCCAATCTCTGCGAGAGTTTCCATCCCGCAAAAGATGTTCCTGGGGTAGGACTTGAGCATGTAGGTTTCTACGTCGACCCCAATTTTACTACCGCTGTGGTTAGGTATTTTACAGGAAACGACGTAGAAAAAACTTTTGCAATTTTCAAAATATCAGAGATTTAAAAGAAAATCACACTTATGCCATATCTAATAAGACACAATGCTTTTTTAGCAAAAAATTAAAGAACCGTCTTCGGCGGTTGGTTTTCCTGATTTCTTGGAATACAGCTGGCAAACAAAACTGTACTCATTCCTCATTATGATGTTGGCCGAAATGATCCTCATTCGCAGAGATTTATTCAATCCATCTCGCTAATTTGCGTGTTAACTGCTAATTTACCTCACAATCAAAGACAAAATGGAATTCTGACAGATGAATCATTCAGGTTACAGTGAGTCAGATATCATACGTTATGTAGATATGCTTATGTCATCTACTTACAACCTAGCACAAATTGCTTTCGACATCACTTGTAACAAAATAATTAAATTGTACTTATGGTACCAACAATAAATGGTATATAGTTACAGTGCACACAAATTACATATTCATAAATGTTCAAGTTTATTCTATTATAGTTTTCTCAGTACGTCGCAAAAGTAACAGTGAATATAATTTCAAATACAATTGAGATTGAATTGGTAAGGTTATTTATTCATAGACGCCAAGAAAATGTTAATATTGTCTCCTCCAATTAGAAGACCATTCTTGGTATCATCTCAATCTTTTTAGTTCATTGTGAATTGCAAGCCGCAATTTTATGATCAAATTAATGTTTGTGAATTGGTGTAATAATGTCTGAATGTAGTATTTATGTAATCTATGATTATATTTATGTGTGCATGTTCAAAACATGGAAAAACATAAACGTCGAACAAGGGAAAATAAATTATTTAAGATACCTCCGATTAAAAATTCTTGCGGGGAAACAAACTTTTATTAACTTAACATTAAGCAATAAATAAGTTTCACCATAATGTAGACTTCGTCTTAAATACAAACCCAAATATACTAGGGTAATCATTTAACTCAATAAGAAATTGACTATTTTATCTTCGATTCACTGAAGAAGACAAGAAGAAATGTTCCAATATATTTATATTAAAATTTGTTATTTGAAAGAATTATTTAAAAAAATATTTGGATTTTTTCTGTCACAACTAACGTATATTTTGAACAAGAATACAATTTTTCATTGTTTAAATTTTAATTATCATCAATTCGTTTATTCTACTTTTCATATGAGCTCTATAAGTTTAGAACGGAGGTTTAAAATGTAATTGCTTTCTAATAATTAGATTTCATAGAATCTGATAAACAAGAATATGTAATTTTTTAAAAGATGCAAATTAACCGTGAAAATAATCATCACCATGATAGCCACCCGTTGAAGTATTGAGATCAAGGCCAACGATGGACTGTCACCTCCCTAGCATCTAATCAACGAACCTCGCACAAAACTGGCTTCTGGCTGATGGAAGATTTGCTAACGGGATCTAAAAACCGACAGGTGTTAAGTATTTAAGAACAGTCCTTACTATTTGCTTTTTTAATTAAGGCTACATTTCGAAATTCCCTTGCTTGCTTTTATTGTTTGACGTAAAGTTTGTGGATCTATGTATTTCGTTGCTCGATTTATCGTTGACTTTTATTAACTGTGACTACAGAAATTGTTTGAAACAACTTTCATTGTTAATACAACTACGCTAAACACGAACTAATTTAAACTTCAAATGAAAAAAATTAAGTCCTGAAATTAAACTTTTAACTATGTAGGAATAAATAAAAAACAATATATTTTATTGCATTTTCATCTTTTCCCTTCCACAGTAAATTAATGTAGATATTGTTAAAATTCGCAGGTGAACCCTAGTATGGAATAGTTACTTTTTGTGAAAATGTTAATCATGGGTCGAGGAAGTTTATAAATTCTCCGACATGAGTGGAATACACAAACAGTCGCGATTATACTCAAGAGCGTTTATTCGGGGATGGTTGTTCGAAGTTTGTTTATTGTGTGCAACTGCGAGGTTCTTTGGATTCAGAAATTCAAAATTATACAAAAAACAACTTCTATTAAAGTTAACAATTCGGGAAGGGAATTTTTTATTTTTCTGCCGAATAATCATATTCGGCCATGTTGTCTCTTCACCTCTTTATCTACATTTACACGTCTTCATTCAAACCTGTCTGGAACCATACGCAGAAGGTGTTGAATTCGTTTGACACTGATGAGAAGATGAAACAATTTGTTCCTCGTGGCCTCAATTCTATTACAAGGTGCAATAATCGCACAAAAACTTCACTAATTATTCAAAAATAAATAATGTATTCTTATTTAGGGAACTGGAGTAGCGAACATATTGAGAGAACAAGCAAAACTCAGAATATTTGCTTTCGATTGATTGATTAATTAGTGATTCTGGGCGCGTCAATTAGTAAGGTCATCAATACCGTAAGTTTAGTGCTTTTTAATCGCTGGAGATGGCGATGATGTGCCCAAGATCGATGATCGCCCCAGCCGGGACAAATTCTAAGCTCATGACTAGTCCCCCGACAAGTGTGGTAGTATTGTGCATGTGAGAGTAGGAGAGTGCAAGTAAGGGATGAGGATAGGACAAAGAAGAGGAACGAAAGGTTGCGCGCGGTCCGTGGCCCGTTTGTTAAAGTATTGCTGAGGCATTCCCTGGTGTTGATCGTAGAAACCACGGAAAAACTAACGATCAGAGCAGCCGGCCGCTAGAATTCTTCTTCCGAGAACGGCTGAGCTCGACCTATCGACCGAGCTGGTGTCGAAATTCCTATCATCGTCGGGAGTGCAACCCTACCATCTTCCAGTTGGAGTCACTGTAGTGTCATCAGTTGATTCCCTGAGCCACCTTTGCCGGTCTTTCGGTTGAGGTCGGCAGGTTTTGGATTTTATTTATTTGATATGATTACATTTGATCGGGAGACCTCTGATGTTTCAAAGTTATATTTTTTATATAAAAATACTACAACGTCAAAACTTTTAAGTGTTGTAGATATCACGTACACAGATAAATCACAAATATTAATATATTAGATACAGATTAAAAAGTATTATAATTAAAAAATACAGTTACGAGTAAAATGTATTTTATTTATTGAAGTTTATATTAAATTAAACAACTGTACATATTTACATCAACATTTCTTTGCTATTTTATAAAAACCTACTTAAAGTTACAGTATCAAGAATTCTTTGTACGTAAGTAAAAAATATCACTTAAGTTTTCAGACGAGAAAAACACAAGTATAAAATCACATGATGCCATTAAATAAATAGAAACACACGTGTCTACAGGCAAGAAATATTTACGCTGTAATGCCATTATTTACAATATTTCTTCACTTCCTCGTATCTGCACATTTTGATTATTCATAAGCTTTATTATCAACTCCTTGTAAGCTTTTGTGTTTGCCACTTTCTCCAGAAACTGAAAAGAAAAAAATGCTTCAAAATCATATTTTATCGTTATGAGGAAAATAAGAGATGATTTCCAAAATAAATTTTTATCTACGAGTACAATGGGTCATAAAATAAAAGTTTTAGTAAATAAAAATTTTAATTGCTACTAGTGACTTGAACAATGAGAACCTTCTGTAATATACGGACGATTCTTAAGAAGTAATACCCTAAACGTTTGATAAACTAAACACGGATAATTTAATTTTGAATCTTCAGGCTTATCGTTAGCAATACTTTTTAACACGAATTCGAACATAACTAATTCTTTAAAAAAATTATATCACGCCCATGTCTGTAACACATGTGTATTATCTCCATATCATTTTATTTGAAACGTTTATTGAACTATTGAAAGCGGAATCAGAAAAACACTCTCAGAAAAGCTTGTTAATGTTTGATGCTCTGTAGTTTTTAGTCATTTATAGTTTTCCTTTCAAACAGGATTTCATTTACATACAAAAGTAGCACCGATTTTATTGTTGCTTAGAAACGTTTGATTCTTTATTTCTCCTTAAAAATAATGGAACTATTCTCAGACTGTAGTATTATCTCAAATATTTATTTATTATGATTTAAGAAAGTGAATGACATTAGGTAGTATAAATATCCAAAATGAAAAAATATGAGGAAAACTAACCATCAGGAGGATTGTTCCATGGCTGTTCATCTGCGGTGGAGAAAATCAAGTATATGAAGTAAGTAACCAATCCGATAGCTGCAGAGATCCAGAACACAATATTCCATGCAGTCCGTGTTTGCTGTAAAATAGTATAGGTCACAAATAGAAAAACTGTAGTTGTGTTAGTGACAAGAGTCCATAAGAATGCATTACGTAACAAAGTAGCGAAACATCTGCAATTTTTAGAAATATCTTTCTATTATATTATATTGTCATACTTTTTGAAGATATTTCAAAAAATTCAGAATCTGATTACTTAATCAATAAATAAATGTGGTATAATATAAATGAATCGACTCATCTTAAAAGTGTTTCGCCAGTCTTCATAGAAAGAATATCTAGCACAGGATTCTGTTTATTATTTTACTTTTTTAGCAAACCTCGATAATTTCTAAAAACAGACAGGAAACATTGATTGATAATGCAACTTCGAAGTGATCGTGGGAATTGGGGAACTATTCAGCTTTTAAGGTCTCAGTTTTTGAAACAGTACTTTACAATTATCATGCTTCAGTCTATTTATATATTCCGGCATAAGCAATCAGCAATGTTCTATGGAAAATTCTGATACTGTTCTATGGGGAATTTTCTACTAGATTTATTTTTATTGCATTTATAATTGCAGAATAAGATATGTTACTTTTAATATATGGTACAAATGTTTGAATAAGTGGATATTTGTTATGACTATTCTCATTTACGTACATCAACTAAGGGGGCAGATTCACCTTTAAAACGTAAACAATTTAATTTTTGAGAACACATCTGCAATAGTTTTCGAGTTATGATTTAAAAGGTACGACGCTGCATCATTCATCTATTAGCGTAGTAAAGTAAGCAAAACTCATGCATCAAACTTCGTCACTTGTTTTCCAGAATTACAGTTTTTATGACCCGTTTCCCTTATAACTCAAAAACGAATTATGTTAAAGCTATGAAATTTTTAGGATGAATATAACCAAGTATTATCTACAAAACCAAGCTAAATAATGCACTTTAGTACAAAATTTGTTTGTGTTAAAATATAAAACTGAAAAAACCCTGTAAGAATCAATGTATTATTTTTTTATTCAGAGATCTAAATGAAAGAACATGGATTTGTACCTTTATTTCCAACAAACCAAACGAAGAAATTGGTATAAATCTTCAAAATTATTTGAGTTATCAGGGTAATACTGTCAGTCCATTAAAAACTGGCTGTTGTTTGATTTTTCAAAAAAAGTTAAAAGCAATTTTTTCCTTCCAGAAGAAAGATATTTCTGTGCGTTAGTTCATTTTCACTGCTGTGAAGTATGATTGCACTAGAGAAAAAAATAGAAAAATAACAAAAATTTAACTGTAATCTGTATCTACCCCCTTAATTTTAAAACATCTAAAATCATTTGAAAGGTTTTTTACTCATCACATTATGCTTTCTAGAATATTTTTTTCTTTCCTAGTATGGAACAATTTTCCTCCCATCGATACGGTGAATTTATACTACTGTACACAATATTTCAAAGGCACAAATGTCATATTAATTGATTCGATTCATTTTCGTCAAAAAACAGTAAAAACTGTATGTAACATATAGTTGATACAAGATGATAGGGGAGAAGTACAATCTGCGCACATTATCTTGGTCTCCAGAATCTCTTCCCCACTACAAATAGTTGAATGATGGATAAAAGTACAAATGCGAGTTTAGCGACATTTGAAAACTATGAATTTGCTCCCGACTTTTACAAAACTTATATGCGAATTGTGGATGTGATTTCCTAACATTGCTAATAAATTAGTAACACACATCGTCCGCTCTTCTCCTATCACATCCAGCAAAAAGACAGGTCAACGAAACATGCGCATAGTGAAGCTAGATTTATGTCCAGAAGGCAAGGAGCCACCAGAGCATTTTCTCAATGGATCAGGGCAAACTGGACAAAAACCTGATCGAGATGGGCGTCATTGATCCATTGACCTGAAGTACAATACTTCTTACAAGCATATTTATTCTAGTTATAATAATAATAATAATAATAATAATAATAATTAATAATATTAATAATTAGTGCATACATCTCTGTATTAAATAAATGTAGTTTTTTTTTGTTTTACATGGTCAGTGTATTGTAATTGTACAGAAACTGTTACGCCAGCAAAAAAAATATTTTTAACGTAAACTTGTGTATCGATTTTAATATTTTTAATATAATCTAGCAATGAGTTGTTAAGTAAAGTACATATTGCATGTAATATACGTGCATACGTGGATTATACGTGGGTTTCTTGTAGTGATACCTCATGAATGCCATTTCTATGACGTTGTTATTATAAATATTAGCAATGCATGGAAATGTTCCCTCCGTTAAGTCAGTTTCGAGAAAAACCAGAGATTCGTAAATAAATATGCTAAGCAATGGCAAGATACCAAGCTCAATGAAAAGAGATGAGCATAATTCACGTGGATGGCATTTGCTTTTTATTAAAACAATGTTTTTGGAATATAAATGTTTGGAGATTATTGACTGAGCTTCCGCATAATGTAGTGTTATTTCGCAGGCGAGCATGTAGATTTTCAAAATTCTCGCAACGTGTTGCGTGACATATTCCCGAATAAATATTATGTTTTACTAAAGCAACTACCACATAGAGATGTGAGAAAGTGCACCTTTAAATCTGAAGCACAAAAGTTTCTCCCCTTTAATTTCTAGCAAATCCGTCCCTTCAAATGGCATTCGTTTTTCCCCGTCGTGGGATACCTCAAACTATGTATAGCAATTCACCGCATCCCCAATAGCCAACTCGACTGCGTATAAGCAGAGGTGAACATTGTCCTCCAGCGGATTTCGAGAGGAAGCCTATCTTGTGCGGGTTGGCCAGCCGTCTGCGGTTTTAGCGCCGCTCTCTTGATAATTATTTCAGCATTGCCTCACGGCGCCACCGTCGCAAACAATGGAAGCTGTCAACAACACGCACGTGGCGTCGCGCCGCGGCGACGTACTTCTGAGCCCCACCATCTGCGCTGCCGTTGGCGCGCGTGATCGTGTTTATTGGAGCGTCGTCATGTGGCTGACGGGCCCCCGCGCCGGTCAAAGGTGCCGTCATTAGCGTCTCCGCTTCACGGCTCTGGGTAGTTTGACCCGAGTTAACTCATTTCCATTTTTGTTTATCTCGCTGAGATGATGATATTGATGAATAAGTTGAGGATGAGTTTCATACTTGGCCTGGAGGGAAGCTTGCGCTTTATTACGGCTGCAGGTTTTACAATGGAGGTTTACCTTTACCACCCAAATGATGAAAACATATTCGCCTTCCGCGGTATTTGAACCCACATAAATTGATTCCGTGCATTTTAATTATTTATTTATTTGTCAAGGAAACCATAAAAGCTGCATGTGACCTATGTGGGGAGGAATACTTGAGCCCAGCTCCAACTCCCACCACGGAAATCTCAAAAATTATTTTCCCTAATTCTATTCGTACAGTTTCTCTCCCTAAGGATGAATTTCTACTTCTACGCAAATTTTAAAATTAATAAAGTTACAGTTTTGTTCCTATATAAACAGTTACAGGGAATTCATGAAGCAAAATATAGGAGGGAAGAATCTGCTTATTTGTTTTTAGTCTATTCGCATCTCCTACTTCATAGAAAGTTATTCGGGAAAAAGCACCGTTTTTTCGACAGAAAAACTCATTTTGTGGGCAAACTCATGTTGTGTTATTTTTATAAGCTTACTTCGTACTAACCGAGAAAAAATCAAAGAAAAAACATTGGCGCAGTTTTTGTGAAAATCTCGTTTTAAAATTTATTTCTTAAAAATTAATCGAAAGCTACTCATCTTAAAAAAATGTACTCAACCTAATTTAGATATCGAATTTTGAAGAACGGATTTTATGAAGAAAAAATCTTTACAATCAATTTTGAAGTCGAAGGAAGACTCCCCAAAAAATTTAAACTTTTGTATTTCTTGAAAATTCTTGAGAATTCAGAAAGAAAACCGCCGCCATGTTTATAAATGAACTTTAAATGAGAGAAAAAATAAAAGGAAAAATTAATACCAGTTTTGAGAAAATTTGGCAAATGTTGAAGCTTCATATAAAGTACCCCCAAAAAAACATCCGTTTCAAATTCATGAGGCCGTGACATCAGCGAGTGCAATCGAGGAATATGAATTTTGGTAAAAAGTTCTGCTTACAGTTATGCCGCTAGTATTGTTCATCGATGGACAGACGTTTGTCATAAACCAATTTTTCGGTATCGTGTACTCAAAAAACGTGGGTTCTAACTACCCAACGAGTTAGAGGAAGTTATTTACTATCATATAGGATTTATCCACTTTTTCACTAGCAGGGACCCATAAAATGAGATTATTCCGTCCAAAAAACGCCGCGCCTTGTTGCAGCATTTCATAGTTTCCATTAACTACATTAGTAGTTTGCGAACTAGTAAAATACGTATCCTAGATTTTCTCAAAAACAGTCGCAATTTTTTTCTTGAAAATATTTGCTCAAATAGAGCAAGGTTTGATTAATATATTTTAGATCTATTTACATTACAGTAATTTCAAAAACTTTTAAATTTCAATTTTTGGAACCTATCGTATACCTTTAATTGTGAAGCTGGAGTATTCTTTATTAATGCATTTTTTTGTAAATATAAAGTATTTAAGTGTTAAGATAAAATTTTTTGAAATCTAAGGCGTTTTCGTATTTTTTTGAGATAATCATCTTGTAAGGAGGCGTCTTGTGAAACCGAAGAGATTAGGTTCGAGTCTCAGCCCCGATGAATATTTGTGGGGAGTGGAAATACTTTTTCGGGTTCAAGTAATAATATAATATTACGTAACTGTCACAAATAAAGCGAGAAAGTACGTGCTGTTGCACTATCACTAGTTACGTTGGCTCCAGCATTTCCTTTTTGAGAAAGAATCAAATTAAGAAGATATTGAATATGTATTTGGCACTTTAGGGTTAAATTCGTCCGACTTTTATCAGCTAACGGTGGTGCCAAGGCTGGGCGCTGTTTGTGTTTATTATCCACGCCTGGGAGGTGGGAAACACGTGGAAATAAATAATATCTTAACTACCTAATATTTTTTTTTAAATAATCTGGTACTTCATCGATTTCATATTGAAATGTAGAAAATGGAGTTCAAGCACTTTTTTAAACGCGATATTTAATTTTTTCACATTATTCGATAACTGTGTCTTTTGATCTTCATAGCATTGGAATATTGTTATCAAGATTTTACTAAGCTTTCCGTTCGGTTCAAAATTACATTGCCGAACTTTTTTCTTCAAAGTGTATTGACTTTGAACGGACATTTTGATACACAATATTTACAAGATCCCTAAATATTTGATAAGAAATCGAACAAATCGCCACTAAACACAATTCTCGCTTTTACATGAATACAATTTCTAAACCTTAATCATTCCACGATTTAAATTATTATGAAAATATAATTAGAGTACATAGAATAGAATTACATGCATCTGCATCAAAAACAGTGTTTTTTTCGGGCTTGCTCTTTTGCTACCATCCATAAAATTTGCGTAAAATGACTTCCGAATAATTTTCAATTTTCAGCATCGATTCAAAAACAGCTGTTATAAGATCGCATCTGTGAAAACTCACGTTGTCGTTGGTGAGGAAGCCCACGGCGTAGGGAGCGAGGATGCCAGCGCCATTGGCGAAAGTGTTGGAGATGCCGAGCATCGTGCCGGCGAAGTTGGGCGCGAGAGTGAGAAGATTCATGGAGTTTCCAGTGTATTGCGCCCCAAGACACAGGCCGTTGATGGCCAGCAGCACCAAGATGGCGACCTTATCGCAGCCGACAGCCGTGATGATCAACAGTGTCGCGGCAGGGCCAATAGCAGCTGTGAAAAAAAAGAAGAAATCTCTTGAAACCCGAAACTACGAAATACACTATTTGCAATACAGAAAATCAAGAAATTGTTCTTAAATTTAGTAATAAACGAGGTGTGCGAATAATAAGATAAATATTGCTAGAAATAAGAATATAGAAATGTAATGATTTGTAAGAAAAGTCTCACTTTGCTTTTGAACGAAAATGTTTAATTTCTGAGATTATTTGAACCCTAAAATTGCCTTCCAGACGATGAAGTCTATCCATTTTAGATGACACAATATTCAACACATGACTGAAATTTTAAGAAATGTAAGAATTTCAAGCACTTTTACTGTACACAACTTCTTCTATATTCATGAAAAACACGTTACATTCACGTATAATCACATTTCTGCGTAAGTTGAAATTCGTTTGCAGTTTCCAAACTGTTTTCCTTGGTCAATGAACGGTTGCTGCGTATGTCCACAACAACTGCAGAGAAGACGCCGCCCCACCACTTCAAGGTCTCTTGCTCTCTAATTGAGTGCACGTGATTCCAAGCTCACACCAATGTACCGGGGTCAAGGAGCAAGAAGATGCAAACGCACTTCCGTTCATTCACAGAATAGAAAGACCTTTCCTTTCATACTTCATTACTATTGTATAGGATTTGAACTTTATATTATAATATATACAATATTATTTCAACTTTGGAATCAGAAGATATTTAAAACCACCTTCTATTCCTTCTATTTGTAATTTTTAATTTTGAAAACATTTAACTAAATGTTCAACATTATTACTTATCTTTTCTTTCAAAATGTCCGAGTAAATCAAAGAATATTCTAGAGAAATTTTCAAAAATGTCTAACTGTACTAATGATTTATTAATGAAGAGACATTATTATTATCATTGTCATTATTATTATTATTATTATTATTATTATTGTTGTTGTTGTTGTTTTTGTTGTTATTATTCCTCTACATCACGACTAAGATGTTTTGAGTCGGCTGAATATAATATCTACTCCAAGTTGCAACCAGCTACCTAAGGAGCAGATCTAGCAACTGTTGGTACCTCTACAACACTGCGCAAAATGTGGGCTCTTCCAAATAAAGCAATTTCTTGCACTTCCCAGTCTCTTGAATGATCAGGGATTTTAGACAAGTTCTTACACAAATTTTGGGGAACAAATCCCAGAACTCCGATGACTATCGGTACGGTCTGTGCTTTTACACCCCACATTCGACTGATCTCGATTTACAAACACTTGAATTTAATGATGTTTCTCTGCTTCCTTGGTTGCTACGTTTTGATCGCAAGGCATAGCAACATCAACAAGTAGACACGATTTTTTCTCCAAATCCCAGATAACAATATCCGGTTTGTTTACTGCTATCGTTTGAATGTGTTGGTCGTACAATATTGTATAAAATCCAACAGATGTCACCGATTGCTAGAATTGGACAAGCTGATTTGGTCAATGGTTTCTACTTGTTTCTGGCAGATGCGACATTTATCATCTTGGGAAATTTTGGAATCGGTTTATCATAATGTGTTCTCAACGCCTGATCCTGAGAAACTATGAGAACCGCTTCGGATTCTGACTTCATTCTTCCCCTTTTAAGCCACATAAATGACTGATCTTTATTGATCTCCTCCTTGCCCATTCTTTTTAAATATTATCCATGGAGTTGTTTGTCTCTCGACGATTTCTTTATTTTTTTTCGTGTATCACATTTTATGTTTAGTTGCATCAGAAGTTCAATGTCTGTGTTATTTTGCGTGTCTTTTGCATATTAGTTTGCAACGCTTCTTGCTCCACTAACAATGCATCTGTTCCACATTCTTCGGTCAGATTTCATGACCTGTCTCTTTAGAGAGTCATCTTGATGACTGACTACATATTTTCCCATCCCGAGTATTGCATTGTGACAGGAGGCTTCAATTTGTCTGAGACCTCTTCTTCACGTGACACATAAGGTCTATGTACATCAGCTCGAGGATGGGCGACATGATGCATTGTTAGCAGTTTTCTGTTTTTTTTATCCATGATTCGAATTTCTCGCTCAGTCTAGTCCACGAGTCCGAAACTGTACTCGACTACAGGCACCGCCAAACTACCAATTGTCGATATTTTATTCCTGGGGTTCTGGGCGGACAAGCCTCATTCTTCTGCAATACTCCCAGCGAATTCTCTCATTCATTGGGTCGTTTGAGATGGTCTCACATTATTCAATGCCCAGATATTTGTAAGTTTTTATTTGGCTTAAGATCTTGCATCAAAGTGTGCGTATCAACTTCAGTGTTCTCTGACGTTGTCACTTTGCTTCTCTTTAAATTGATTTTTGCACAACTGTCAAGACCAATCTTCTTGCACATGTCATTGCTAAAGTCATTTACGCACATTGCTAAAGCCTTTAGAAGAGAATCGCTTCATTCTTAGCAAATATTTTAAGATCATCCATGTAAAACAAATGTGATACTGATCTTTCACCACTAAGAAGCTTGCAACCAAAGTCAGCTTGCGACAACTGCCTAGATAAAGGGATCAAACTAATGCAAAACAGCAGAGGGGATAGTGAATCTCCTAGAAAAATTCCCCTGTTAATCTGAATACTTCTTGTTTCTACTGGTTCCTTTCCAGGCTGTATATTAGTAACCGGCACTATTTCATACTAGCCTTGCAAAATTCAATAGGTCTAGGATGAAATCGATAGATCTCCAGGGTCTTCAATATCCAATCGTGTGCTACACTGCCAAAGGCTCTCTAGTAGTCAATCCAAGCCATGCTTACTTAGCTTCCGTTATTATTATTATTATTATTATTATTATTATTATTATTATTATTATTATTAATACTAAAATATATAGTGTACGTTCATTATTTATAGAAATTTGATAATACTTCACATTTCCCTCCAGAAAATTACTATTACATGTTAGTTTTCAATATAGTTTTCATTTGTTCCTAATGATTCATTTTTCCTTTCCCGTATACATATGCATATATGGAGTAATATACGTAGTATAGGGTGAGTGATGTAATGCTGCCCGAAAAAACGGCGGATGTTCGCATGAAAACATTTCATTGCCGGCCTCTGATAACTAAAAAGTAGATAAATTCAGTTGCTAAATCAAGAAAAAAACATCGAACACGTGGGGTAGCCAGAATTCCTGTTTTGTGGATCATTGATAACGAAAAATCAATTGACGGCAGGACGCCCGTCTGTCCGTCTGTGTACACTAGTAGCGCCGAAATTATATGTAGGAGTTTTTTCCAAATTGAAGAAACCCTTGTCCATCTGGTTCGAGTCGAAGCTTTTAGATTTTCAAAAACATTCTAAACTTTGGGAGTATTGTAGATGAACCCCTCTGGACATTTTCAATTTTTTTTCAAAAACAGCTTCAATTTTTTTCTTTAAATATATTGTAAGAATAGAGTAACGTACACTTACAAAAGTGTCGATTTTAACGGTTAACTCTGAATTTTTGAATATTTCAAATGTATGAATTTTTTCGCGTCTTTCTACAACTACAAAATTAAAGATTGAGGTTTTTCCTTCAAATTAAACTTATTGTCCATAATTACTTCGTTCATTAAGGCCATGCACATTTTTTAAAAAGTTTATTAGTTTTCGCGCAATATAAAAGCAATTATAAAAAAATTAAAAACTCGATTTTCTCAAAAACGGTTTCCATTTTTTCCCTTAAACGCTTGATAGGGTTCAGTGCTAAATGTACTCTAGAACTCTGAGAAAACATCAACGCTATATTGCGGTATTTTTTTGTTTTTTCTAAAACTACTGATTGCACTGTTTAATATGACGTAAAGTTCATTTTGGAGTATTTTTTTGTATTTTTCTAAAATTATACAAATTAATTTTTTTGAAATATCTCTCCCGCTGGTAATGTGCACATTTCCACCAATTTTTAATCGCTATTGTATTTGTTAGTTAAAGTGCATTAAATGGCATCAAATTTTTTTCAAAATCTCAAAATTTTTTCTGTGAAAAAAGAGCTACAAATTTCGAATTTACAGTTGTGTTTAAATGTCATTTTCATAAAAACGGCTCCCAATTTTACAAAGAAAATTGTTATTTGGGACGAGATTTTATTGTTCTTGAATATTCTTAAAATAATATTTCCTTTCTTTTATGAAACCGAAAAATTGAGAAATTTAAAAAAAAGTACTTTCCGCGGTGATATATAGCAGGTGGCAAGAGTATGTGGCAAATCCGAATAGCTTGCCGAGACCAAAGGACATAGGAAACTAATAAGGGAAAGTCTGCGCCATTTGTAGCACCACTAGTTTTCACTGCAGTGTTAACTAAAGCTCACACTTTGCCAGTGAGTGATGACGGAAGGCTCTGAATTCGTAGAGATAGAAGATAATGGTTTATTGATGCTATCTCAATCGAGAGCTTTGAGAGTTAGAGCGACTACAGAAAGATACTAACTGCAATCTCAGCTAAATTCATCGGCACTTGAAACAAGTACTTGAAGATTAAAAAAATTAATGACAGCAGATTATTTCCGGATTTCATTGCAATGTTTCTAATTGTTGCGCAATATCTGTTTACATCGATTTACCACATTACTTGTATGAATTTTTTTTTGCCACAATGCTCAAATTCCTAATATCATTGTAGTAAGTTAAAAGCGATACACGATTTTATTACTGAGTATGGGAGAAAAATTTAATCGCCGAAAAAAATGGTGTCAGGTAATTCTGAAATTTCATTAGCGTGCTTAACATAATAGACATAATTGCATTTTGATCCGAACTTTTGTTCCTTATATCGGGGATAATCAATACCATGAACCAATTAAAAATAATCAGTTAGAAGAGGAAGAAAAATAACAATTCCATAAAATATTACAAAAACATTGAATAAATATGAAAATAATATTATATTCAATGTATGCGTAGTGAAATTATAATTTGATAATTTGCCATCACTGTAGTACACGAGGAATACTGTATTAATACGAATAAATCGGAATGTAAAAATAATTTTTATACGATCTTAGAAAAAAAATATTACATTTCGTGAACGAAATGATTGCTTATTGCTGATTTTTTTCGCGTCGATTTCTCATTCTCGGCAATAAAACCCTCAATCTCCATTGCGAAAAAAACACTCTTTTAATATAAAAATAACTATTTTAGGACCGTGTGAAAAGGTTTTAAATTCATGGAAAGTTTTCAGATTCTTCGATTAATTAATAATACAGTAAAATAATAATTATTAATGTCACGAGACGAGCTGCTGAAGGAGAATTCCACAGATAAATGGTACTTATGTGCACGCCAGGCTCTCGAGGATTTATCACAAGTCGAGAACACTAGCCATACAACATACGCATGAGAATTTCACGTCTGCAGCAGCAGTATCAGCGACACTCATGGCAATTGCTCAGGGAATGATTCCACTTAAGATCTATTGATAAACCAACTCTACTGGTGTCAATAAAAGACTGAGCGTCAAGAATCACATTTTAAAGATGCATTTGGGTAAATATTAATTAATACATTAAATCGACATCTAAGTATGTAATTGTGTCATTGCACAGTTCAAAATATATCTAAGTATGTATTTTTCAACTATGAGTATTTTCATGCATTTATTAATGTTGGAAATAGGGATGAGACATCGATGTCTGTGTTTTCAGATCATAGATGTTTCAAACGCCTATATTACAATATTATATAATAATATAATATAATAATATATATATATATATAATATATATATATGAGCGTGGATTTTTTGTGTTCGATATTTTTGCGCTTTCGATGTTTTGTTTATGGATAAAGAATTTCATAATCACAATATTGTGGAGTTAAAATATTAAATAACTGACTAACGTACTACTTTCCGCAAGCACACTATCCCTCACCCGGAATGATTCGAATGTTCTAGTATTTCCTTCGGTTTCATCGTATTTGTTTACACGGAGAGGCGTTTTATAACTTCATATTGAGTTAAATCTTAATTCCGAATAAATAAATAAATAAATAAGGACATTGGCAAATTTAATTTTGTTGCGCACGACTTTAATGTATGAGATTACTAAACCAGCTTTAAAACAGTTGAAATCGATGTTTTTTTAAGGATGAAATACTAACATCGATGTTTTGTTTTAGATGTCGCATCACTAGTTGGAAACCGGATATGTGTATACACTGAGACCCTTCCCGGGCTCGACATACGACACAGCAAGGATCCTGTTCGCAGCGAGGTTCTTTCAAAGAGGCGTACGCCACGCCGCGCCGCGTCAGGTAGAGATCAAGGTGCACGCCCCTCCCGCAGCGAACGCCGGCGGTCAGTGTTGAGTTCGGTTGGCACCTGACGGCTAACTGTTCCATTTCTTAACGCTTTCCTCCACGTTATCGGATCGTGAGGTACGAGGTCACGGTCTACGTAATTGAACGGGCATCAACGAGTTTACTCACATGAATACGTATCCTTTACTTGGCAATTTGAAATGTGCTTCCAAGAGAACGTTTGGTTGGTTTCGTGAATTCAACTGTCTCGGTATGTCTTGTGTATTAGCAGCTTGTTCTTAAAAGAACAGTCTCTTTTTGCCATCAAGTAATCCATTATCCAAACTCACACCAAGAAAGCGATCCTTAAACTGTCTGGACGCACCTGCATATGATCAATCACAAATTTTGCTGTATTTCAGGAGATTTTAAGGAGTTGTAGATTGAAAGCGAACATACTTTTTCATCATTTCAAAAACGATCAATGAAAAAAAGGTGGGACATTATGGAGATGATGCCATTGTAGTTCTACGAATCATTCAAATTTTCGTTCGCCATTAATTTTTCGTATCCTGTGGCTTTATGATCTAAAGAAGGCATGTCAAACCCCGCTTATACAAGCATTTCGCCGGGCTGGGAAGACCGGGGTTCTTGCAAACACGGACAACATCCCCAGACTTCGGTCTCATTTCCCCTCCAAATCCAGAAAGGGGTATACATGCGCAAGCTGTAGCAAGGAAGCTAGCACAAACCGCGCTCGAAATATCACGAATGGTTCATTTGAAAACGTGTTTTCTAGCAAATAACTGTGATGTGAATTGTGTTTATGCTTTATACCTTATTAATTTTATGTTTTTCTTTTTAAATTATGCCTTCTAACAATCATTTTTACCGAGTTAACGACGAATTCGTTTCTTATTTTCATAGTGTATTACGTTTTTATTACATTATTCAGTAATTTGTTGTTTATAACATTATTGTGAAATAAATTGACCATGCTCTATAAGTTAAGAATTCTCGCATACGGTCCGACAGATACAATAATATTTGCCCGTGAAAGTTTTTAACCTGAGCGGAGATACAAAATGCAGTTATTGCATTCTTAATTGAACACAATTAAGAAATCATCATCCTTTAGATTCCAAATATTTTAATTTAACTCTCAATTGCCAATTTAAAATCTGTCTGATGTGATGTGTTATTTCATTTTAATGGATAATTCCTTTGCTTTAGTACTTTGATGAAGTGAGTATGAATATCGCTTTTGAGGTAGTAACTGTCGAATGACATCTTCAAAAGACTGTCACGTACCAGGAAGCCAGTGACGTATTGCCATTCCGAGGCAATTTGTACTTTTAAACCTCGGGCTTGTTGTTCTCTTCGATAAGACTAGGAAGCCGTATCTGACTTTTTTCTCCAAGACTGCCACCAATACGAAGCTTCCACCTCAGTGCGTCATTTTATATTTCTGTTACAACTGTAAATACAACAGGGCAACAATAATTTCTTATTTGATTAGTAAAACACAATTCGAGACAATTACAAAACAAGATTCAGAGTTCGATTAATTTTCGAACCCTTGTCACTAACATTTATTTTACGATGTATCCGTGATAAGTGCATCAGGTTTAGAAATGGAGCCAGTTGTGCAAAATAGTAGAGTTTTAAAAAATGTTATTGTTCTATTCAGAAATAATTATCACAATGAATGTATTTGTCATTTTAGGGCTCGATTTCCAACTTTTGCCAGGTAGTGTTTCCAGGTCGGGGCCCTGTTTATATTTATTATCCTCGCAATGCAGCGAGCATAAAGCATCCCCCCATCACACTAGATAGGAAACTTGGCTTGTTAAACCTTTGCTTTCGATACACAGCTAATGAAACTGAGACGCTTTAAATTTACCCAACAGAGAATCGAACCTGGGATTGCACCACAGAAAGTTATCACTGTTCATAAAGCACCTGAGGGGCTACGTACAATAATGTATCTAATGTAACTTTTTTTGTTTGCTTGAGTTCGAGTAAGAGGCATGAACCATCATGTAAAGATGTATGCGACGAGTACAAGCAGAATAATATGGAAGTTATGGATATGCGACTTAATATTGTAATACAAATTATTACACCATAAGAAAAATGAAAATATCTGGCGACGGGAATTAGAAATGACATAACTGCATAACAATACATGAATTAGAAATAATAACCTTATTTAAATGCGTGACGTGTTAAATTACGTTTCATTAATGTAAGGGATTTGCAGTAAACCACTCGTACATTACTAATGACGACTTTGTGCTGTTCAATAACTGGGTGCAATAGATATTTTAGCATCATCATAAAAATATGTATACAATTGAACCCTTTTGAACTCTTCGCTAAAGTAATGTCTGATTTACTTTCTTCTTCTCTTACAAAGTTGATGCAAGTTGAATTTTTAACTGAAATATTTAAACCGAAACTTTAAATTACTGGCTTACAAATATTGGAAATTAAGTGATAAGAAGGATGCGTGGAACATATTTGTGGACTAAAAAACTGAATTAGGTATTCTATTCAATTCATTAAAATTATTGTAACTTCGTAAATCCTTTCCACCAATATTCACATTACATGAAACCATTAAACTTTCTTACGTGAGTCTATGTTTTGTTATTTACCAATTGTTAACACGGATTCCCTTCGGCGCGAATGAACAATTCAAATTCGCTTCAAGAGTAATTCAACGCGAGGCTGTCCGTGAGTCAACGCACGCGAAAGGCAGAACTAACATCCACGATCCACAAAAGCAAAAACCTTTTGAATCTGCCACGCATCTGATTAATTTCCTAGTTTTAATGTCTTTCCAATATTCGCCTAGAAATTTCTATCTGTTAAATGAATGTTTGTTCGGGAAAATATCGAATATTTAATACAAATAATTTTATATAAATTATTCCTTCTCTAATTCTATCTCCAAGTTACCAATTTTTTAATGAAATATAAATGTGAGATACTTGGCCTTACAATGTTCGTCTAAAATATACTAAAAGTAGCGATTAAGAAATATTCATCGCATCCTAATGAATAGAAGATATATACTAGATGAAACATTACCATTACCTATACAATACGTCTGGAATACGGTCATGGAGTACAGCCTGTAGTGAGTGAACAACTCGTCATGATCTTACGAGAACGAAACAGTTTTAGCATATCTCTAAAGAGTCTGTGTACAATATTTGGACTTATTCGAACTTGTTACATCAATCTTTAGTCTTTATCATATCCTTATTTCACAAAAATAGTAGTTTTACACTTGCGTGGGCCTCACAGAACGTCCCATTCTTTAGACAGGGAATGTCAACAATGCACGCAAGAGTAGATAATCAACACATAGACAATCACATCTAGATAATCATATCCGATGTGTTGGCAGGCCGCCATTTGCTATAGGTTTATTTAAAGTACAACTTACTAATGCCGTTAAATATCCTGTATCCGTTGATCTTGGACACCTTGCCAGTCGTGATAATATGGTCGAGACACCAACTGAACACAAAGCTGAAAGAACCTCCTGCGATGTATGGGATGGCAGAGAGAGCAGCGTTCTACGAACAAAAATTTATTTATTATAATTATTAGATAAGACATCTTCAATTTGTGGTGGAATATTTTATTTCAAAGGAGTGCGAAACAAACTGAAGTGTTTTTTGCGGAGTTACGACTTCTTCGCTATTGAGTAAGTTCATAGGTGATTTAAATTACTCTAGAGTGAGAATTCATATACTCGTTGAGGTACTTTTTTTTCACTTAACTTGAAAGAACTAACATTCATTTTGATAACATATTCAAAAATATTGTATGTATGTACTTTGACACAACAGCTCTGTACGAGCTCAGGCCTACCAGCAGCATCCCCGCCTTGCGGCCATGGGTTAAGGGGTACGTGTGGTTAGCACATAGCCATCCCTTCGCTGTATTTTGGTCTTCCCAGCCTCAGAAATGGGCTTCCTCATCGTCACTGAGCAACATATTTTTTACTATTATTTATTTATTTGATTTTGTACATAGATCAGTTTTTGATAACTTTACATATGTATTGATGACTTATTAAATACAAATTAAACTAACTTAACACTACTACAGAGGTTGAGGAAACCATATTGGCACCTCATAGGATCTATTCCAGATCTGAAAACAATTTACAAAATATGTGGAATGGATATTTATTTTCTATGCGAATGGGATGGATGGGGGTTTTGCAAAGTTTGAATGAAGATAAGGTTTGGATATGGTGTATTAGAGAATAAGTTGTGGGATAGGTGGGAGATGTGGTGCATTATGGGGTCGAGGTTGAATTCATTGTGTAATTGATGATTAGATATGAACCAGAATGATTAGTGATTGTACGGAGGAATTGGATCTGTACTATTTGAATTTTGTTGATGTTTGTTTTTGCAGCATTGATCCATACTGGGCAGGAGTAGAGAAGAGTAGGTCTGATTATTGTTTTGAATAAAGTTATAGCTGTTTTGTATAGGAGGTAATTATTCCTATTTATTAGAGGTTTTAATTGATGTAGTTTGTTTTTAGATTGTATTATTTTGATGTCTATGTGTTGATTCCATTTCATTTTGGTGTCGATGTGCAGTCCAAGATATTTTATAGCCTATTTGGTGGGTGCCATGTTAATGGGGTTGGTGAAGTGTATGGTCTTAAAGAGAATATTCTTGCTGCAGTTTTGTTTGGGTTTAATTTTATTTTTAATTTGGATGACCAACTGTCTATTTGGTTTAGATACAATTGTATGTGGTTTTTAATATTGATTAGAGAGTGGTTGGAAGAGAAGATAACTGTGTCATCTGCAAACTGGCAGCAACAGACACAGGGACATTGCAAGGAAAGCGCACAATTAATCGAACCCGGGGTTGCACCGTGCAAAGCCACCGAGGGTCAAGAATAAAGGTTACAATAAGTGATTACTGAGATTAAATCTTCAAACATAGCAATCAACAAGTCGACTTCATATCCAATTGAATAGCATTGGAGGTATCAACAAACATACCAGGTTGTCAAAAAAATTAATCAAACTTTTTAAAAATATAATAATTAATAATAGGCTTACCAATCAAAATTCAAACCTGACGTCCCATTAAACAAGTCAATTACATCCGTTTCCTTATTGAACGGCTTCAGCACAAAAAAGGACCCATAAATTTGTGATTTATTTACCCATTCCTTTTCATCACTATCTCAAATCAACCTCTTATTTGAATAGTAATTAAAAGAGGTGGACAATCAGTAAAATTAGTCATGAATGTCAAGTCTTTATTTCGTACTTACTGTATTCTTAGAAAGTTTCCACCCCGAAAACAAGTTCACACAACAGTGTTGTCCGATTCCACGCTTTAAACAAATATTTTGCGAGAGCACAAACAAGTTTTCGAGGACATACATAGTTACATATTTTGCTCGGTAATCTCCGTTCTGGGAACCATATTAAAGGTCGCTCAGTACGATAGTACCTTATTTGTTGTGAGTCGTATACCTGTTGTTCAATTTTTTCAATGTCCTTTAATTGAAACGCTGTTCGACAAAGTTATTTTTTAGCCTGTTTTTTTCTTCAAAATATCACAATTTTAATCCTAATTTTTATGTAAAATAATATACAGAATAATATCAAGCAGACAAATACTTAACTGCACATTGAATCAAATTAGCTTCCTAGAGGAACGTTTTTCAAAACGTTCCGACCCATAGAACTCAAACTTTGGTAGTCGATCTGTGCAAACCACTTCACACTACACCGGATCGTTTGGAAACCTTAGTAAAATAGCATCGAAAAGATTTTGCGACTAGAACACCCTTCTGAGTACAGCTGATGACAAACAGATATTGGAGGAAACAAAGAATAGAAATGGAGTTTCCATTCAGCGGATATCACTTCTCTCTACCTATTCAACCAAACATTCCACCAAAATAATGTTGTGTAAGAAATAATTACTTAAAGATGTAAAATACTCTTTCATATTTACAAGAAAATAATAAAAATGAAGTTTTCTTCGTGATATTCATACATCGAATAAGCATTTCGGAGTTCGATTAGCTTGTTTATGTAGTTCCAGAACACGTTCTAACAGCATTTACATCCCCTCGTGGTTTAGGTCACGAGAAAGGGACCTAAGAAACGTTAGAATGGGCAACATGAGCTGTGTCCTCGGGTATTACTTTTAATACACGATCACGTTCAACAAATTAACCTTAAAAGAACCTCTTAAAAATTACACTAGAGGGTACAAACTTAAAAATGCAATAAATGAAGAAAAGAATCATGAAATAAAAGCATAAACTGGCGTTGGTTCAACGACAGAACGTACATTCTAAAAGAATAAATAATAAAAAAGTAGAATGTTTTTTCTTGCGTGACGAAGAAGATGGCGTACGTAATGGGTGCCAACAGTAGCACACACACACAAACACACCGTGAATCATCAGTCATGTAAATGCGTGTTGTTTACGCCGTACCAACAATTCTCACGTTGGGAGGCAGGATCTGACGAACGTGATAGGACTGAGCTCCAATCGCTACAGAGCATGACGTCGCCCTCTTCTCTTACCATCGCAAAATGCGTCATTATGTATAAAAGCAATGTCTCGTGATCATAATTGATTGCAATTGCTCTAAACAGTTCGCTGGTTCCAATTAACATAATTCTTGCGCAAGTACTAAAGGGTGTAACTGCATACACATGGTACTGAATGACTTTTTGTTGCATAACCCTATTTATGCATAGTATAACCTCGAGAAGTACTTTATTAATTATTAGTAAGCTTATCGCTCATGGAGTCTTTACAGTATCAGGAAATTTAAATGCAGACGTAGGTATGAAACGCTCTGTAATATTTTCTTTTGCCACCAAAAACACGACGCGAACGTATTTCTATTACAAAATATTCTAACTAATACACTTTAAATACAATTAATAACAAGCAAACTATGAGGAAACTAATACCATATTTTATAATTTTTTTCAAAATTTCACACCTGAACTATTTTATTCACTAAAATCAATCACTGAAACATGTTCTTAAATGTATGATATGTTCATTATTAATATTTCGTCAAAATAAACATATTGTTTATCCATTATTTACCCCACGGTAAACGATTACTTCGCGGACCACCTGGCAAATCTTCAGTGCTCATTTAGAAATGACAAAACCTTTGATATTAACATCGAAAGGGACTTACACTTTTGATGTCGTAATGCAGAATATAGCTCATGTAAGTTGGGAGACAGGTGAGCAAAGCGAAGAAGGTCCAGCCGATGCCCAGGTGCATGGATGCACATGCCCAAAGACCCCGAGTGGTAAGGATCTTCTTCCACGGAACAGGCAGCTTCCTCTATAATGCACACAAACTCAGCGCGTTATGGATCTCGCGAAGTAAGAACAAGAAATGTGGGCTTTCTTTGATAACACGCTAACTCAAAAGCTCGCCTTAGGTAACAATATCAAGGAGCATGAATAAAATCTTTAAATCGCATTTGTTACACATACAGCGCATGTTTTCGGATAGTAGATAAACACGTAATGTATCTTAGACGGAAAGTAATATAGATACCATATTGAAAACATTATCTTTCATTGTTCTGTAAAGTTATTTCGATATATATTTTCATTATTAGTGCAATTCTTTCTTCTTATATATTTATATTTGTGTGTGTGTGTGTGTGTGTGTGCGCGCGTGCTGAAAATTGTTTCACGTTTTACGAATATTTTAAAAAATGCAGATGAATACAGAAGAATAAAAGACGGAATACGTCAGTGGCTGAAATTAAACGCCATCTGTTATCACCATAGATCCTGCGATTTCTCCATACTGAAGTCAATATGCTCTCTCGCAAGGAACTCCCAAATATTTGGCAGGTCATTTCAACACTAATGGATTTATTTCCTCTCAATGTCTATTGCACCAACTCAAATTAGTGTTTGTTTTCCTACTGTCAACATTTGTAAACTGATCATTAAATAGAGGCAAAAATGTTTGAAAGAAGTCTGCAAAGATAATAAAGCTTCTTGCCTCAACGCCTGAATTAGAATGCACAATTAATACTCAAAATTGATACTGAAATTAAATAAATATTGTTTTGCATTTAGACTCACATTCAGTGTAGGATATTGTGGAATAAAAATGTCAAATGTGAGTTTTTCACAATCGCATCTGAATCTTTATTACATGAATACTAAATGGCAAATGAAAATGTTAAGCAACATAAAAGCATAAGAAACATATGAAAATGTGCCCTAAGAAGAATTTGAATTATACGATGATTGCTTTAGTATCTATGACTATGCAAGATTTTTTAATATATTCTTCAGTAAAAGGGAATTATTATAACATGTAAATATAATACTGTTTGAACAAGAAGAACTTTACTAAATTGATCGAGAAACAAACTTTGCTAAATAATAAGCCCAGCAATAGATATGTTGCGACGTAATGTATATTGACTTTCTGACTGACCTAGATGTAGAATAACGGTTGAAATATATCAAATTTATGTACGTATTTGTTAGGTGTGTGTAATTCTTACATGGGTTGAACGGTGTGTGAATACCAACATTTCGATTTATTTTATAAATTTTGATGAAATTAATTTATTTTGATTTATATGAATTTATTTAACTTGGACATACTCAACACTGCAATGTAATATCTCCACCATAACGAGCACAACAGGGAAGGCAAAACCAACAATAACAAGAAAGGACGATATAGCAATCAATGCACAGAGAATCCACTCACGCTAACTATAATCTAACATACCTATACCGGAAGCTTATTGACACTTAGACCTGAGGATGATTCATCCTATAATATTATAGAAATCTTAAATCAAAATCTGACAGGAAGAACAAAAAGGGCAACAAAACGAGAACCATAAAGAAAATAACAAAAAATGCCACAACAAATATGAGTAAAAACGGAAGCAACAATAACTAACAAACTCAACGCAGAAAAACAACAAAAAGCAAGTGGCAACAAGAGCCCGTCCCGCACCTTCTGAGGCACGCTGCCGAGCGACGTTTCGATGTAACGCCGCTCCTCCGGGGTGATGCGCGGGTGCTTGGCCGGAGAGTCGAAGACGCAGAGCAGCCAGGGCAAGTACCAGATCACGCCCAACGCCCCCGTCACGTAGAACACCAGCGGCCACCCGTTCAGCCACTCCACGTCGCACAGGAGCCCGCTCATGGGCATCGTGATCACCGTGCCCAAGTACCCACCTGCGCGCATTGCAACAGGAACATCGTTGAAAGCGTTGGGCGCAGAAGGAAAATTCCGCAATGATATTGCTCGCCCACGTTAATCAAACACAAGATTCAATTCTCACAGAAATTAAGAGTATATTGTTGTTTCTAGTTCATGTTTGGATGTTTTGTAAATTATGACGTTCAAATAATTGTTACAAACTTTAAGTTATTTTAAGTAATTAAGTGCTCAGTAATATAATCGATTTAAATAATTGATCAAATCATTGTAAAAGAAATCTTAAGAATATATTTTTTAAAGAATACAACATATTTAAACGGTACCGTAAATTATATCACGTTAAATACGTTGCTTGAGTTAATTTCTATTTAATATTTCTTCCTCTGTATAATCACACACACACAGAGAGGAATTTAAATCGAAATATTTCAACCAGAAAGTGACTACTATGGCATGGTTTTTAACTGCCAGAAATATAAATATCACTAGACGAGTATACAATATTCCCCCGGCAACTAGAATGGCATCCATATCCGAAATAAACACTACTACTGATCAAGATTTCAAAGTGAGTGAGAAGTCCGACAAGAGACCAATCAGTCAGGTGCTCAGATAACAGGCAGAACAAAGCAGACTAACAAAACAAACGGGAGTGCTACAGACGAGCCGAAAAATTACGCAAAGCAGGATATAGTCGGATTGACTTCTGGTTGTCGAGCAGATCAAAAGTATACTGATAGGAAACCTATGCACTGCTAGTAGATCGCCAACCGGACTTGTTTCATTTTTTCTCTCCTTTTTCTTGTTTTTCTTCTACTATTTCTTCTTCCTTTTCTTGTGTCATCCGCATTGCGGGTTGTCGCCTCTTAGTCAATACACGTAAATTCGGGAGTACTCCTAAGGCAACTCCACACATTTGGTATTCTGCGAGTACCTAGTGACTGGTAATCCCGAGTAGAGTGGATGGGTTGATTGCTATTTGCCGAGCGAAGAACATTCACTCGGTACTCACCCTACCCATCGGGTGTCGGTCTTCTGCACAGATCAAAGGAAACAAACATTCATCGGCTGCGAGGTGCTTCAATTTATGTGATTTTGAATGATAATACGAAGGAGGCCTATACAAAAGAAAATTGCAAATATCGTACTATAATACACGTTTTTTTCAGAATTTCACATTCATTGTTTCGCTTCTGTAATTGATAAATATTCATTATTCACTTGGACTAAATCTTTTATTTTAAATCGTGTTATATTTGTACAAAAATTTGTAAAAAATTTTTAAAATGTGATCGTATTCTCTCTGCCGTAATAGTACACGGTTACACGTGGTTAGCATTTGAGCTTGTAAAGCTGAATACAAGATGAATGCGTGTTCCTCATCTGTATTGTAACTCTATGACAATAATAGTGAGCTATTGTGAAGATAAAACTCTCTAAATAGGATTTTTTATTTAGGTCAGATTTTCGAGTTCGGGAATCACTGTGCAACAGCCCGACAACAGCACTTCAGTTTCCTCAGTTTTTCGTCATGCTTGCCTTCTCGAAATTCCGAGCACTACTGAAAAATCGGGTTCTTTGCCGGCCAGTGAGTGCAATTTCGGTGTCCCGACGGTCGGTCCGACGAATTGTCCCGTGTGTAGAGGCCTTGAGGGAGGGGGAGTCGCTCACCCGAGTAGACGAGTGCGAAGCGCGAGCGCTCCTGCGGCGGCGCCCACTTGGCGATCATGGCCTGCGCCGCAGGGAAGGTGACGGACTCGGCCAGCCCCTCCAGCACGCGCACGGCGAACAGCACGGACCAGTGCGCGTGCGCCGCCACGGCCGTCAGCAGCGTGAGCAGCGCCGTCAGGAACACGCCCAGCCCGAACACCAGCTTGCCTCCGTAGCGCTCGGCCAGCAGCCCGCCCGGCAGCTGGCCCGCCGCGTAGCCCCAGAAGAAGCCCGACAGCACGAAGCCCTGCATCTCCTCGTTCCACTCGAACTCGCCGCTCTGCGGGACAGAAAATCAACTACATTTTGAAAAAAAATAATTCAACGTGAAGAACAGTTAAAACTGTGTGACATGCAAAATGTGCATGCTTTCTTGAGCTTCGCTCTAACTTATAACGAAAATCGAATTGACGGTCGGAATTTACCACATCCCAGTGAACCCATTTTTCCGGCCATACCTCGGTGTTCGGATTGGAAGCGAGGCACTGCAGTGTTTGTGCCTCCCCATGGGATGGACCCTCTTGCCATTGCTCACGCAGACGGCGATGAAGGTACCCTAGAGCAAGTTATACCGCTCTCATGCATACATCTACTATGGAGATATTTTGATGTTAAGTGTCGACACACATCAACTCGTTTCTTGATTTTATATATATATATATATATTCTAACATACCCACCTACCTAGTACAACTTACCACCTTCACGGTAGCATGCATG